GAGGCTGAGGCTGAGGCTGCAGGCTGAGGCTGAGGCAGGCTGAGGCTGAGGCCGAGGCTGACTGAGGCTGAGGCTGAAGCAGGCTGAGGCTGAGGCTGAGGAGGCTGAGGCTGAGGCTGAGGCAGGCTGAGGCAGGCTGAGGCTGAGGCTGAGGCTGCAGGCTGAGGCTGAAGGCTGAGGCTGAGGCTGAGGCTGAGGCAGGCTGAGGCTGAGGCTGAGGCTGAGGCAGGCTGAGGCTGCTGAGGCAGGCTGAGGCTGAGGCTGAGATGCAGGCTGAGGCTGAGGCTGAGGCAGGCTGAGGCTGAGGCCGACGGCAGACTGAGGCTGAGGCTGATGCAGGCTGAGGCTGAGGCAGAGGCAGGCTGAGGCTGAGGCTGAGGCAGGCTGATGCTGAGGCAGGCTGAGGCTGAGGCTGAGGCTGAGGCAGGCTCAGTCTGAGGCAGGCTGAGGCCGAGGCCGAGGCTGAAGGCAGACTGATGTTGAGGCTGAAGCAGGCTGAGGCTGAGGCTGAGGCAGGCTGAGGCTGATGCAGGCTGAGGCTGAGGCTGAGGCAGGCTGAGGCTGAGCCTGTGACTGCGACTGCCGTTGCCACTGCGACTGCCATCGCGAATGCGACTACGACTGCGAGAACAGCAGAATTCTACAACAGGATTCTCATCTGAATCTTAAGGGGAATGCTTCCAAATATGCTCCTGCACATCGCTGTTAGGTTGCTTTGCTGGGATAATTGTTGCCCCTGGGGGCCCTCGCCCGCCCCCTGAACCGTCAACAACGGAATTTTTGATGACCCCATATCGGAATTACCAGAGACGTACCAAACTCCTTTTCAACATTGTTGCGATGCCTCGCAACAACCACATGAGCACTTTAGACAAGTTAGCGCGGTGCGCTGTCCCTTCGCATAACTGTTTTCTAGCTGTCTGCTGGGGTGATCGCTATATTCTCGTTGGGAAAATCGCAAGCGTCGCAAACGGCAACGGCGTGCCCGCCCATTTCTCCGGCCCACGTCTGCCCAGGACGACCTCCTTCCCTAGCGCCGGGCGGCTGTTTCAGAACGCGCGGGGGAGAGGGGCGGAGACAGGGGGAGAGGGAGGAGGAGTAACACTGACCGAGAGGAAGGTAATGGTTTGGCCGACCCGACCCAAGCCATTGCCTTAACCCGTCCTCCCCTGGGCGGCAACAGTTTGGGCGGCGGGGCGGCCCTGCACCGCCGCGTTCCGCGGCCGGCGGCGGGGCTGTCTATCCATCCCTCAGCAATCGCGCGAGCGTGGGCCTGCGACGGATGAGTTGCTTGAAGCGGGCGCTGGCCGCAGCAGCAATCCTCCGACCTGTGAGACCTCCGACGTGCCCGTGCGAATGATACAAACTGCAACAAATATCATGATAAACTGCAATGGACGCGAGCTGGGGGGCCGAGAGGGGAAGGAGCGGGAAGACAGCAAGACGAGCAGAGCCAGGCGAGGACAGGAAGGAGGCAGGCAGGCAGGGCAGCAGAGAACAGACAGGGGTGGATAAAATAAGGCAACCAAGATAGTGTACTATGTGATCACCCCCAAGGGCCGTTTTGCAGAAGCAGCAAGTCAGACGGGGCTGGGAAAACCTGGCACTGGCACACCAAGCATTACACAGCGTCCTGAGGAAACTGCTCATAGCACAAGGGGGGATCACCTGATTCAACCGGTGGAAAATCATACTAAATAGGAGGGCCTGAGAGCGAGTCACCTCTGGATGATACTTCATTGCACGACCGAGGAGGATGTCTGCAGCATTATATTTCTCCAGGCTGCGCAAGAGAGCCTCAGTTTTCGCCTGCAACCGAAGGGGGCCAAACGTGGGCAAGGACGGGATGGCCTCCAAGATGCGATAAGTCTCCCGCATGTGATAGTACATCGTCTGCTTATACCAAGGGGTTCATCTTCCATAACAACACGCAGTCGTCGTCGCCGTCGAAGGAGTCAAGTAAACCACAAATATCATGGAAGGCTTTTGATTGGAGGGCAGCCCGATATATTGCAGCTCTCGCCATACACGTAAGATGCTTAGCCTGGACATTGAGACCGCCGTTCTTCAGGTCATACAACAGAGCACAATACATCGAATTTCTTGGAGCGTCGGTCAGACTTTGCAGCGCTCGATACTCCTGCTGGCAAGCATACTTGGACGGGGCAAAGAACTGGGCCACATAGCCCATGCACGAGAACGCGTACACGACGTTGTAGCGCAGGGCGGTTTTGAAAAGCCCTAACTTGAGTGCCTTACATTCTCGAGCTCGTCGAAGGGTCTTATTCGCAGGGGCTCCCCAACTCAACGCGTCCGAATCCTGGCCGACCCAGATCCCGAGATATTTACCAGAGACGCCCAGAACGATGCCAGGGATAACCAAACCATTGCCCTGAATAAGTTGATCGAAATCTCGACGGCTGATACCCTTCACGACGACGACCACACACCTCGGCAGGTTGTGCTGCAGTCCTGCAGCTCGCTCGGCTAGCTGAAGGACAGGAAGGCAAACGCACAGAGCAGCAATGACATCGGCAGTGCCCACGCCTAAGTCGTCCGCGAACGCTGCTGCTACCCCCAGACTTCTAGGTAGGCGGGAGCCAAGCATTCTCAAAACCGGGTCGACCGTAAGGGCATAAAGAGTTCCAGAAAGAGGGTACCCCTGTTTTATGCCTCGGAGCATGGTAAAGAACGCGCCACGAACACCTCCGAAGACTACCTGGACCCGAATCCCAGAGTACAGCAGCTTGATGGCCCGGATAATCCTCGGGTCGATTTCCCAAACCTCTAACATCCAGAAGATAAGAGGATGCAGCAGCGACGGGAACGCACTCTGGAAGTCGAACAGGAGAAATCCTGCTCGAGCACAATACTGCTGGGCAACCCAATGCAAAACATAGCCCTCGAGCTGGATGAGGTTGTCATTCATGGCCCTATTCGGGATAAAACCTCTCTGGATGGGGTCACAGCACACCTGAGCGACATACGACATGGGGCGATTGATGGCTTTGGGCACGAGCTTGTTGTCGCTGTTGGCTAACGCTAGCGGCCCCGTACAGGAAAGGGCTCTGACAACCTGCTGGGCATCCTCGGGGCACTCACCTTTCGCAAGGAAAACACCAAGGGCCTCGTTGAAGCTACTATCCCTGAGATCTCCCGAGAGAAGGGCTTGATAAACTCGATAAAGAACCCGAACGGCCTCGGGACCAGCTTTAGCATAGGCACTGTAAGGGATCCCATCAGGACCAGGACTAGCATCCTTGGTTTTTCCACTAAAGGCTGGAACTCCTCCGGCTCGAGGATCCAATTCACGAGATTGGGCAACTGCGGCGCGAAGGGGCGCAACTGGTCGCACTCTTCAATGGGATACCTGTCTAGTCCTCCCTCTCCGTGTACCTGTCCCCAATATTGTGCAAGATGCTGGCAGGCCTCATGCGGGTCAGCAATCTGGCGGCCCGTCGGGTCAGCGACCGCTGAAAGGCAAATCACTCTGCCAGAAGCTCCCCATGCAGCAGCATACTGAGTGAGACGGTGCAACTGCGGCTTCTTATGATCCTCGGGCGCGTCAGAGGCCTCGAGCTCGGCCGTGCGCTGCCGGAGAGACTGCCGACTAAGCTCGGCAAGATGGCGATGGAAAGCGTGCACATCAGTCCACATACAATTGTCAGGGCACATATATATATATATTGACGCAACTTCGGATACGACGTGCAAGCTCTCCTTACAGTGGCAGCAGACCCAGCAGCAAGAGCTCGCATGGCAGCTAATGACCACCCGATAAACTCTGGCACGGTGCTGGCCCCACGAACCTCCAACCTCTGCTTGAGGTTTTTCATCGTAGCGTGCAGCATGTCTTTGAGCTCGCCTAACGCCTCCCAGACATCACCATGAAAGGGTCCATGGGCCTCCAGACACTCGGCAAACACCTCGGGGAACTCGGGATGCTTGGCAATCCAGGAAGGGATCCTCGGGGCAGCAGGAGGGCCACAGGGGCGCAATACCAGACATACAGGAACGTGATCTGAAAGTTCTTTCCAGTCAAAGGGGCCTCCCATAATGAGGCTGTTCGGAGCACAATCGAGGAGCTTCGCAGTATAGGCATTGATGTAGATCCTATCCAGACGACCTGCCGAAATGATCTGCTCGTCACGTACAACTCTATGAGTGGCAAGTGGTTGTTCAACTTCAGCAAAACCAGGGAAGGCCCGAGAAAACTCCGCCCCGAGGTTCCTGGAAGGGTACCGCGTTTGTCCAGACACCAGAAGGCTTCCTTCACCCAAGACAGGAAAATTCCAGTCACCACAGAGAATCGTCACCGCTTGGTCCTGGGGAGGCACGTGCCTCGCAATACGCCACAAGAGTTGTTTCTGCCGAGCAACACTAAGGCTTGGATCCACACGAGCATTCACAATAGCAAGCGAGCCGCGCTGTCCACGCAGCAGAAGAAGATGCACGCGTCCACGTGCGAGTACCGAATGAGACACACTATCAAACTGGCGCCGAAGATGAATAGAGAGTAGAATGATGCACCCACCTGCAGGAACATGCGAAAGCGGAAAGAAGGTTCCATACCCCACCACTCCCAATACGTCCTTACAAGCCATATTCAAGTCAAATTTAGAGCCACGGGACTCCTGAATACACACTACACTATGTTGAGCAAGAAGCCGATTAAGTTTCTCGTGCTTAGCCCGAAGAGTAGCAGGATTAGACCAGTTATTCCCAACGAGAGAGCACGCATTCCAAGACACAATGGAGAACTTGGCCCCGAACTCGTAAGGAAGAAACCAGGCCTTATCCATGCTAGTCGAAGATGAGCTGGAGGAAGAAGAGGTAGAGGAAGAACTCTCTGAGCCAGAGCTACTGTCAGTGCCATCACTGTCAGGAGAAGCGCATGGCCTGCGAGCGGCAGCCCCAGCTGCCAGCAGGCCCCCCATAGGCAGCTCACGACTGCCTGACCCACTGTTGGCGAAGTACAACGTTTGAATATCCTATTCGACCCTAGCGACGGCCGCGGCAGCCATCTGGCCGACAAGTTCGCGAGCAATCTTGTAGCGGTGGAGCGTGTCGTAGTCAGGCACGACGATCCACTGGTCGCGATCCTCGGTCTCCAGCGTGAACAAGTTCTCGATCTCGTCTTCCACAATCAGACATAGATTGCCGCGAAACCCGTTGCAACCGAGCTGCCAGTTCTGCACATCTGGGGCATGCTGACGCCAATGGCCCGTACACATCTGCCACAACTGACCCAGTACACGATGCTCGGCACGAACAAGAGTGGGCGCATCGAAACGCGCACGAAGAGGAACAGCACAATTAAACTTCTTATCAAACCATTGAATGCCTACGGTCCTCGTCGTCTCCAGGAACCACTTAGCGGAGTCCTCGGAGTCGAAGATGAAGGCGAAGGACCTACCCTGGTTGTAGCATATCTTCTGGAGGCCTGGCTTGTAGGCCTGCGGTATGTTGTAGATGAGATCGTCAGCGCAAGACTCCAGCACCTTCTTGAGCAACGGACGCGGAAAGCCTCCGACCCAAATCTTGCGACGATCTGCAACCAGTCCTGCTTCAGCGTGTGCAGCAGGTTGGCCACCAGGAGCACTGGGCTGCGCTCGCGTCTGGCGACGACCAGCAAGGGCCGCCAGATCACTCTCCACCTTCTCAAACCTGCTCTTCAGAGTCTCCGCGAGCTGGCCTTCGACGATCTGCGCAATATCGTTGGCTTGCTCCTGAGCAGACTGGGCCATCTTGCGGTCGATCGCATCAATGCGCTCGTTCTGCTGTGCCACGTCCGCCTTCATGCGACGCATGTCATCCTTCAGCGAGTCCTCTAAACGATGGATGGACTCCGTGTTGGTGTCAAGCTTGTCAATCAAGACCTTCATCCACGACGGTGGCTGGTCTTCCCCACGATTGGACCTTGACCGATGATCACTTTCCTCGTCCTCAGAGTGAATCCTGTGACGACGTGCCCGATCACGACCACGCTCGCGCCTCTCAGAACGCCCCATAGACGGTGAGCGGCTGTCGTCATCATCACGTTGCTGCCATCGGCGACTGGCCCGCTGGCCGCGAGAACCCATCGCAGCACTGACAGTGGGAGAGAACGGAGTGCGCCGAATGGTGTGGGTGCGTACTGGCGCCCGAACGGTATCAGTGTAGAATGTGAAAGGAGGAAGGGAAAAGCACTGAGACTGGCTTGGCAGCCTCCCGTGTCTCAGAGCGGCGGGCCCCTGCGCCACTTTGAGAGATGTTTTACTTGAGCCAAAATGGCTTGAGCCAAAATGGCTTGAGCCAAAATGGCTACGGAGGGGAGAGGGAGGAGGATGAGGAGGATGAGAAGGAGGACGATGACGACGAGGGGGAGGAAGGCGGAGGCTCAAGAATAACTTCTCGGAGAGGGCGCCCTCCCGCACATCTTGCTATGTGTCTGGACAAACACAATTAACACTGTTCAACTTCATCCGCCCCGCCAGCTGCAGCGCGCTGGCGTTGATGACCCTGCTTCAACTCGACTGACCAATGCCCGAGAATGCGCCAGAAAGCACCTCGCGTGGAACGCGCCCACCTTTAGCCAGCTCCTGCTTCTTCCAAGTATGGTCGTGGCCAGGGAATCGCGCCAAGCCTGGGGGGCCGCCCCGCTCCGCCGACATCTATCGCACAGTGCAATGGACCATCTCTGCGCCGAGGATCCCGCCATGCGCGTAGCTATCCAAACATCGCCGGGCATCCCGTCCGCGCCGCTAGCTTTGCCCTATCGCATGCGCCTGGCTGCCGCTGCGACTTTTTCGCCGGCGATGGGGGCGTCGCTCGCGCTCAGCTCGTCGCCGCGGGGCCCGTTGGACATGGGCATTGCGGCGCGGATGGCCCACTGCGCCTGGTTCAAGTACTCGGCCAATGTCTCCGCGCGGCGGTCGGAGTCCACGACGGCCCCACCCTTTCCCCCGTAGCCGTCCCTGTTTCGGAGCAGAAGCCTTCCGGAGGCGCTTCAGCTGGCCCCGCTGCCCACTGGCCACGAGGGCGCCGAGCCACGCTGATCTGTCATTGCGGACGGAGCCTTTGACCTTTGCTTGCAACCGCCTCTCCTGGCCCACCCCCCGCCTTGCCTGCCCAGAGATCCAAGGATGCTTTGGCGAGAGCTGCAAGCGGGCGAGTGCAATCGCCAGCGGCAGAATGGACAGATCGAGCCATGACCTCCTCGAGCATTGCCGCGTCGAACGCCCGTGCGAATCTCTCACCTGTCGGCCCCCTCAGCGCTTTAAGGCCCAGAAGACCGAGGCGCTGTTTCTCGGGCCCCCAGAAAACGTCGACCTCCAGATCAGCAACAACGAGGAAGCGATGCGAAGCCAGAGCTCGCGCGCGGTCACTGCGAATATGGCGGAGCTGATGCGTCCAAGCAGCGGGCGCGAGGAAAACGTCTGCATGGCCAAAGTTGCCCGGCGCGGGGGGGTCGCGCGGCTGACTGCCCGCGCTGCAGCAAGGTATCTGCCCGCCTTCGGAAGCGTCGACATACGCGCTGCCGACGGCGAAGTTTCTATCGCGCACGCGCGTGCAGATCTCAAACAACATTCTGGGGCATGATGCCAGCCTGCGCTCTGCCCGACGGGTGGATGAAGATGCGAGGGCCGAGAACATTTTCTTCCAGCGGGAAGCGACGGCGCGCGCAGGCGTCGAAATCGTCGAATACCAGACCGTGCCGATTCGCACAAAGCCTCAAACATCATAATAACATTGCTGCCAGTCCTCGACGCAGTTTCCGCTGTGCGGGGCGCGAGCGCCGCGGGCCGCAGCCTTGCTCCCGAGCGCCCGCATCTTCAGATAAGCCATGCGTGCATTTTCCCGGCAGAATCCAACTATGCTCGACTGGGGCTTCGGGGAGACGATGAAGCCCGCGCTGGCCGTCTCCTTGTCGTCCAGGTTGGGGGGCCCGGACAAAATGGCCAAATGCCAAATTCATCCTGCGTGAGCCCCGAAGCTGGTTCATGCGTCTCCTGGATACCCAGCGCATAAACGCCCAAAAGGCCACCATGTGCCATTCTGGTCCTTACATTTGGCCTCCGTGGATTCCTCCACGCTCCGCGTCCCGCGAAGGAACTGCCGGCGGCAAGGTCGAGAACGTCCGCCGCGAAACTCCTCGGCACGCTCTGATTGGGACAACGGCGCTACTTCTGCAGTAGAGGCGACTTCAGGTAAAACCGGATCGCCACTGCAATGCCGAATTCAAAAATAAGCAAACTCGATCATGGCACGCGTAGGAGCGCTACCTCCGCCAGAGGGCGAACCCGCGGGTGAAACTCTGCTCGCGTGCTGTGTTTGCTGGGCGCGGTGGCCCTCGGCGCCCCGTTATAAACGCCGCGCCTCCGCCCTCGGTGCAATTCGCGCCCTTCGCCGCCTTCGCCGGCAGCTCCGCCGATTTCGCGGCCAACTCCTCGATGAGAGAGAGTTATCTGGGGCTCGGTCCGCGCCCCCCAGCCACCCCATCCAGTCGCGCTGAACCGCATTGCCCACCGCTGCCCCCGTCAGCGCGCGCTCGCCCCCGACCTTGACGACGCGCGGCGGTTCGTCAAGGACAGAGATCGCGCGCGGCACCTCTCACTCCTCATTCAGCGCGCGCTTCGAGCCGAGGCGCAAGTTGCGCGCCACCCTCTCAGGTGGCGATCGATCCTGCGACGCCCGCGCCTTCTCGCCCCCGTTGGCGAGGACAGCGCTCCGGAGCAAGACAGCGCCGCGATCGCGAAGTGCAAGCGACCAGAATCTCGCGGACACGATGCCGCCGAAATCGCCCTTGGCGCACACCTCCCCCCGAGCCGGGCTGCTGAGGTAGGAGAGCGCACCCTGCGACAAGTCGGATCGGCGATCGACATGAATCGGATCGGCGGAAATCGGCTGCCGCGACGAGAGATGTCAAATCGGCGGAAATCGGCAGGCCAATCTGCCTCCAGTAAAGTATCGAACTCCAAATCGAAGTCCGAAGTCGAATCGCATCAGAATCGGAGGCCATCGAAAACGAATCGAATCGAATCAGAGGAATCGAAACGAGCCCTGCCATCAGGTCCTCGAGCCCGTCCAATTTGCCAATGGCCATGTTCGCGGCCCTCCTGTCCACAGAGCCCGCGGCCCGGCGCGCGCTGTCCCCGCTGCGCTGCGGGCGCCCGCAGCCTGGATGCACTCGTAGATCTTGGTCAGCGATGGCATGGGATAAGGAAACCTTCGAGAAGGAACCCAGGGTCTGGAAGCCAGTGGAGAGTGAATCGTGGATTGGCCATAGACTTCACCGCTGCCCTCATCAGATAAGGACCCCATCCAGGGTCTGCGGCCTCCTGGGCGCATTGCTTAACGAACGCTCCCACCGTGAGGACTCGAGCTTGTCAGCCCGAGCGTCTGTCAAGTTCAAACGCTGCTCCATGGCGTCGAAGCTCTCCGAGAGGGCTTATTGCGTCTGCGCGACGGAGTGGTCCAACTTCACGAGATTCCTGCGGAATCCACTCGATGCCAGAGCCACCTGCTCGAGTTGCTCCTCGAGGAGGGATGCGATCCCCATCGCGGTGGCCCTATCCCCAGTCACCTTGGTGGCCTCGAACTCCTGCATGCGATTTGTCTCTATTACCTCAAGCCCGTCCATCTCGTTCAGCGGGCCGTGGGCGCGGTGAGCTTTGACTCCGCGGCCCGTCAAACTTGTTCGAGACAAGCTTGCCGACCGGGGTGCCCGCGCGCCTCGCGTTGCCGGGCGCCGCAGCCTCTGGCGCGACAGGGGCTCTGGAGCCAAGGATGTATTTTGCAAGCTCACTCTCCAAATCCAAACTGGCCATAATGGTTCAAGCGAAACAGCGCAGCAGTATAATGTAGCCCTAATTGAGCCGCGTGCACGAGCGCTACATACAAATAACAAATCGCCAAATATGCACGACCAGCACTGCCCTCATCTCTGCCGTGTTTCTCAGGAGCCCACAGAAGTCGGGGCAACTGCGCACTTCGCAGACTCCCAGAGAGCCACGAAGTCTCAAGAAGGCGCGCGCGGCCCCCGACCCCGCCGAACCTCCCAGGGGCCCGCGAAAGTAGCGACAGTGGCGCAGTTTGCAGCTTCCCAGGGCGCAGCGAAGAATAAAATGTGCGCGCGTGGCACCCGAGTCTGCTGGACCTCACAGGTACCCGCGAGAAGTGGCGACAGCTGCGCGCTTCACAGACGCCCAGGGAGCAGCGAGGTCCCGACAGGACAATCCCCATGGAGCAATGAGGTCCCGCATGGGCGCGCATGGCCCCCGACTCCGCTGACACTCCCAAGAATTCGCGAAAGCGGCGACAATTGCGCACTTCGCAGCCGCCCAGGGAGCCGCGAGGCCCCGGCTGTGCCTGCGCACTACCCCCCACTCCGCCGCGCCTCCCACGGGCCCGCGAAAGCGGCGACAGCTGCGCACGTCGCAACGCCCCAGGGAGCAGCGAGGTCCTGTCTGGGTCTGCGTGCCCCCCCTACTCCGCCGCACCTCCCAGGCGCAGTTCGCAGTCCCCCAGGGAGCGGGGCCCCAGCTAGGTCTGCGTGCTCCCCCACCCCGCCGCGCCTCCAAGCAGCCCACGAAAAGTGGTGACAAGTGTACAATACGCAGCTAACCATGGAAAGCGAGGTCACGTCTGGGTCTGCGTGCTCCCCGACTCCGCCGCGCCTCCCACGGACCCCCGAAAGCGGCGACAACTGCGCGCCTCGCAGCCGCCCAGGGAGCCGCGAGGTCCCGCGTGGGCGCGCGCACTCGCGCGCTCCCCGACCCCGCCGCGCCCCCAGGGGCCCGCGAACGAAAGTGGCCACAATTGCGCACTGAAACCAAGCTGCACGAGGGGGTCCTCTTGTGCCAGAGCTTGGGGGGCAGGCGGAGGCAGCCGACTGGCCTGCGCAAACAAAACATAACCGAACATCCGCATTTGAAGAACCGACGCAAGCAGGCAGGGACGAAACTCTCAACGTTTTCTGCGGCACAGGCTACGCGCGGGGCTCCTGCCCCCATTATAAGTCAAAGCGCAGTGCCGTCAAGTCCCAGACGGCCCTCGCGCGAAGGCGCGCAAGTACCTGACCTTCCTGGCCCATGAAGGCCGCCATAACTCAAAACAACAAACGCGGAGCCCCTCGCAAGGGAAGGAAGGGGGGGGGGGTCAAGGCCGACGCTCGAGCGACGGCGCAGCCGCGAGAGACACAGGGGCGAAGACGGGGCAGACGAGAGGAGAGAGAGAGAGAGAGAGAGAGAGAGAGAGAGAGAGAGAGAGAGGAGAGAGAGAGAGAGAGAGAGAGAGAGAGAGGGAGACATAGAGAGAGAGAGAGAGAGAGAAAGAGAGAGAGAGAGCGAGAGGGAGACAGAGAGAGAGAGAGAGAGAGAGAGAAAGAGAGAGAGAGAGGAACAAACAAAAGAAAGAGAGAGAGAGAGAGAGAGAGAGAGAGAGAGGAGCGGCGCTAGAGGGGGCGCTAGCAACGTACAAACGCGCGTATAATACATGCATGTAAGCCAGGCTGCACGAGGGGGGCTTGGGGCGCGGGCGGAGGCGGCCGACGGGCCTGCGCAAACAAAGGTCACCGAACAACCGCGCTTGAATAACCGACGCAAGCAGACAGAGACGAAACTGCCTACGCTTTCTGCGGCACAGGCCACACGCGGGGCCCCTGCCCCCCAGTATAATTCAGAGCACTCGTACAGTCGAGCCTCAGACGGCCAACGCACGGGGGCACGCAGGCGCCTGACCTTCATGGGCCCGTGAAAGCCGTCAGAACTCATAAACAAAATGCGGAACCCCGCCAATGCCAAAACATCTCCCTTTCCGGCCACAGGCCCTGCGATCAATCTGCTGCGCGTGTGTGTATATGTATACACGTAACGCAAGTAAGGAGGGGGAAGAGAGGTGCACATAATAGCTCTCCATTGTAAACGCCCCCCGCTTTGGCGCATATCCCCTTAAGCCATTATATGCACTTCGCCACTTCGAGTATAGAGTGAGGAAACTAGATGGCGCCTTGGCGTCGGAACAAGGCCTTGCCTCCTGTCCGCGGACGCCCCACCTCGGGCCTCGCCCGAGACGCGGCGCAGCCCGATTCCAGGCCGTCGCCCGAAAGCTGAGAAAGTGCTGCAATCAGGCTCACTGTGAGCGGCTTGTCCGCCGCCCTGGACTTCCCTGGCGCTTTGGACATCACCATGCCTGGGGCATGCCAAGACCTCTCGCCCTCGTCGATCTGGTCTGCCTGGAGGAGGGGGCGCCTCTGGATCAAGACCTGCGTCTTGGTGTAGCGCTGCAAGGCACTCGACATAGTCCAGCGCCCCCTCTTTCTCGCCATCTCCAAGTCGCCTCCATTGGCCACGCACTGAGCAGCCCCAGCATGCTTGATGCCGCGAGGTGGGCCGAAGACCTCAAAACCCAACGTCTCGAGAGACGCTTGCCACATCCTGCGATACCTGTCGGGGCTGATTGGGATCGCCAGGTCGTCGTCGGCCAGTCACTCTGAGAGAGTCCGCGGCATACTTCGTCAGCTGAATCGGCGCCTCGACGCCTTGCTCCGAGCCTGTCTCCACCTTCTCGCCTCTGGATCTGTCTTCCAGAAGCAATGCCGTCCGCCCACCTCTTGAGCTCCCCGTCCAAGAGCTGCCCACCGACATGTCACACTCACGTAGTTGTGCCTGATCCCCCTCGCGAAGCCAGCCGCCCAGCTGCGCGACCGCTGCGCGCGCCTCGAGCACGCGCGCAGCCTGGCAGAGGTCGAGTATGATGAGCCCAGGGGCCTGGAGGGGAATCGGCTGCCCCCCCCTGGCCCCGCTGCTGCCATTCCCACGCCTTCAAAGCGCGAGCTCACAACGGAAGGGAACCCCTGTGGCCCTCGAAGATGCGCGTGCAACGTTGAACAAGAGGCTACAACGACCCTGCCCAAATCTGCGTACGTAGCACATGTCCGACATAAAAAAACAGCCTTGACACGTAAGAACACCGAACGAAGCGGAAGGCTCTTCATCTTGGCATCGATCAGAAACTCTCTCAATGCCTTCTCGCACGCCGCGTTCGCACTGCCGTCTACCGCGTGCATGGCCAGCCTGTTGTTGCAATGCAGTGGCGCGCTTGGCGCGTTGTCCCAAGCTCGCGGCCCCTTCGCCTGCAGCGGCGGCGGCCTCGCCAACGCTCTCACAGCCCCCGCTCCGCGTAGGCAACTGAGCATGGCCAGCACCCAGCTCCGCGACGGTCTCGCGCAATCTGCCGCTCCCGAGGCTACGCGCGCGAGCCCCGGCAAGGGACATGGCGACCGAACCAGGGCGCTTGCCCCGAGACGGGGCCGCGCCTGGATTCGCGCTCGAACGCCCTCGGGGCCGAGCAGAAGGCATGGCGACCGAACCAGGGCGCCTTCCCCGAACCCCCTGCGCCTCGAGCCGCAAAGGCCCTCTTGCGGCTGCCGCGCCCTTCCTCCGTTGACCATGGTCAGGTCCGCGTCTGCCACGCTGCCGGCCACGCCCTGCGCCGCGCCCCTCGCCCCCCACAGGTAGCCCTGAAACGCGTCGCTGTCTTTGAACGCCGCGCGCAGCGCGGATGCCCCGCTAATCCTCAGGCCGCGGGGGCCGAGGTAGTTCGGGCCCGCCCCCTCTGCCGCAGCCGATTGCATCGCCGCGCGCTGGACATCCGGTCGCGTCGCGAGCATGGCGTCACCATAAGCGAAGGGCGGGTCGCACATCCTCGCCCCTGAGAACTTCTCGCGCGCCCAGCCCTCGTAGATCGCAAGCGCTTCCACGACGCATATGTGCCCCTTCTCCACTGGCTCCGCTGTGACCTCCACCCTGAGGCGGTTGCGCCACTCCCCGCGATTGTACTGGTCGGTCTTGCTAGCCCTCATCCTGATGACGATCTCGCCCGCCTCGGGCCAGTTCCTGCGCGGCTCGTCCACTGCCTTCGGGGCGACGTCGACCCCTCGCAGACCCCTGCAGTTCACGCAGCCGTTCTGGCCCCCGGACACGCACTCGCTAGCCTTCAGCAAGCAGAAATATCCCGTTGCCACCGCCACCCATAGAGCCCCGCCTTCGCGGGGCCTCTCCGGCTGCAGCCCCCGCCGAATACACTGCGCTATCCTGGGGGCGACCGGCTTCTTCTGCTCGGCGCCCCCGCGTCGCCTTCTGAGGCCGTCGATCGCCATCCAGAGCCTTCCTGCCCCCGCCGCCAGGTCGCCCGCGTCGAGGGCGAGGCGCCGGGCGCGGACCGCGATCGGGCACTGCACGATAGCGCCCGCCCTCTCGCGCCCGCGCCTGGACAGGCGAGAGGCGCTTTCCAGCAGCAGCTCCTCCTCTTCCCTCTCGTTCGCGAGAACGACCTTCCGCGGCGGGCCGATGCCCCGCGCGCGGCAGAAGAAATGCCGCCGCCTCCAGCCGAGACTGCGCGACTTGATGTCCAAAATGAGATCTTTGGCCTTCTCCCAATCCTCGCGCGTCTTGAGGCCCGCGAGAATCAGGTCGCTGGGCTTGGCCACGCCTTGGACGGCCTCCAGCCCGAGCAGGTTCGGCGGCTGGTGCTGCGCCGGGTCCGCGCTCTTACCCCGGCGCTTCTTCTTCTGCTGAGAGGTCGCCCCCGCCGCGCGCTGCTCCGCCTCTTCCGGCACCTGCGCCGCCGGGGCCCAGTCGAGCCATCCCCCCTTCTGATCGGAGTAGCCTCAGGTCCTGACTAGCTTGTCCAGCTGCTCCCGCGCCTCCTTCTGCTCCAGGCGCCCGCTTCTCCTGCTGCCAACTGCCCCGCGGCCGACGTGCCCGCCGTCGTCCGCCCCCCCGTCGATTCCCAAAGCAAACAGCTCAGGCGCGCGCGGGTACTTCTCGCTCCTGCGCCCGCGCCGCCCGAGCCCCTGGCGTCGCTGACGTAGCGCGCCGGAGCCTCCGGGTCGACGCCGTCGCCGCCCTCTGGCCCCGGGTCGCCCTGGCCCTCGCCTCCTCCCGTCGCGGGCCCGTGCTGAGCGGGGGCGGGCTGCGTGGCCCTGCTCTGCCTGGCCCCCCGCCTCCTGGGCCCCTCGGCCGCTTGCGCCCCCCTCTCGATCCGAGCGGCCCTAGCGCGCGTGGCGGCCATCCTCGCTGCCTCCTCCTCGGGGCTGCGCGCCGCCCGCGCGCCCCTCGCGACCCTGGACTCTGCTTCGGGCCTCCCCCCGCGCCACCCCCCTCGGCGAGGGCCGTCGACGGGCTTCGTCGGTGAGGGCCGCCATTGGGCCTCGCACCCCTCGCAGCTTCCATCGCGGGGCCGCGATGTTTCCCACCCCCGCCAGCCAACCTTCCACGTTGCCGCCAATGGGCACCGGAGGGGGCCGAGGACCCCCTGCGGCCCCTCGGCCAACGAAGACGGCTGCGGAGGGGGGGGGGGGGGGGGGGGCGACCCGCGCCTCCACCTCAAGGCGCACATGTGCAACCATCTTCAATCAGAGGCGTCAATTGCCACGCGCCACTCATATCCCCCCTTGGGCCGTGAACGGGATCGCCCCCCTGCCGGCTGATTGCGCAGCGTCAGTAAGCTTGTGCATTTTGGCACTTGTGCCGCCCCACCTTGCGCTCCAAGGGCGACGGCTCGACCTGCGCTGCAATGGCGCTCGCGCGGTCGCGCCCCTCTCCCACCGACCGAGGGCGACGGCGCGACCCGCGCCAGCGCGGCAATCGCGCAGTCGCGCCCGCCCCCAGCCAACCCGCCCGGAAGATCGACTTCAACGGCCCCGTCGGGCTTTGACAAAACAAAAAACAATGGGAAGTTATGAATTTAATGCCCCCGTTCCCCGTGGCGTCTGTTCCCCCGATTTCCCGATTTCCCCGCCCCGGCCCCGCCCCCTGCCCCCCTCGCCCCCCGCTCTGCTTTCCTGGGCACTGGGCCCCTGCCCCGCCCCCACCCCGCAGCGCGATTCTTGGAGCCTCACCCCGCCCCCGCCCCGCCCCCGCCCCGCCCC